TTGCGCACTAAGGAACCCGTCAACCAAGCGCCGCCGCTGTCAACAGCTCAGGTTAAGTGGCTGGAGTACCTGTCTGGCTCTGCCTCCGACGACTACGAGCGCCTGGTTGCAGCAACTTTGTGCTTCATGGTTTTCGCGAGGGCCAGGAGAAGCGACCTGGCCAGAGCGACTCACGTGCAGTTTGACCTGACTCTGACGGCTCTGACGGTTTTGTGGAGTGCAAGGTGAAGAACCCCAAGCAGGTGAAAGCGCAACCTTGTCCTGCCGCTGACAGCTGTTTACCGTGGCCTGGGCTCGGCCAGCTGGGGAGCGCTGTTCTTCGCTGCAAGGGCTCGTCTGGGACTCCAGAACGATGGTGCTTTGGATCGTCCTTTGATCCCAGCACTGTCTTCGACGGGCAACTGGCTTCCTGACTGCCTGAGCAGTGCCGCGCTGACTACCTGGTTGCGAGCCCTTCTCAGCCGAGCACCTGACGCTGATTACGGTCTGACTCAGCAGGTGCGGAGCCATAGCTGCAAAGCTGCTGCTCTCAGCTGGTGCTCCAAGATGGGCCTTGACGATCGCACCCTGCTTGGGTACCATAGCCAGGGCAGGAACATGGCCAGCCTGGGCTACCGCCGCGATGTTCTGGCAGGTCCCCTGCGAGACCTCAACCGAGTGATTCAGTCTGTGGCCTCTGGTTCCTTCTGCCCTGACGTCACGAGGAGCGGCCGTTGGCAGGACACAGCCAACGCGTCTGACTCAGCCTCTGTGGTTTCGAGCCCCACTGACAGACTGAACCGTTCTGGAGACAGTCACCGCTCCGAGTCAGTGCCTGCTCCCAGCGGGCCAGCTGCCCCTTCTGAAGCTGTTGACAGCAGCAGCTCTAGTGGTTCCGAACAGGTTTCCTCTGACAGTGGCGATGAGGACGAGCAGCAGGTTGCCGCAGCCCCTCACTTTCTTGAGAACCTGCTGTCTTTTGGGAACTACGCAGTGGCCAAGAACAAGTCCCCCCGCCTTCAGCACGTTCTGAAGCAGGATAGCGGTCGTCTTCTTTGTGGCAAAGTTTTCTCTGCCAACTTCACTGTCAGTACCACTGTCGATGGTTCTGCTTCTTTCTGCCGCACCTGTAAGACCTGCGGCTTAGCGACAGTCTAATTTCTGGACGCGGGGAAGTGCATACCGCAGGCGTCCTGACAGGTCTGCCTCTCTGCCTTTGTTTTGGCCAGAAGGCTTTCGACTGCAGAGGCTTTGCTTTTCCTGTCAAACCTGGCACCGACAGCTGGAGCTGCGCCCCACTTGGAAAAAAGAGTGTTCGCTTGTGCGAGTGTTTTCAGTAGAGCGAGTGCATTATAAGAGAAGGTTCAGGCCGGGCTGAGGGGGGAAAGGTGTCCGGAAAAGGTAAGCACAAAAATTCACGAAAGCGGGATCGAAGGGAAGGTCCCTTCGAACACTGGGATAGATCACTGAAGGTACTTGAGGCGGGAAAGCCAATGTCCTGAAAGTGCAAAGTGCGGACAAGCGTATGAAAACACTCAACAGGATTAAGCGTTTGGCGAAATGCGGAGGTGCTTGGGATTAGGGTCCAAGCTATGGATTGCACATCATCGCCAGCTGCTCGCCTTGCTACTCGCTGAGGTTCTGCCGATGGCAACCTATGCGGCACTCTGAGTGCCTCAGTTTTCCGCGCCTCAGCTATTATCTCAATCTTACGAGCTGAAAGATCTCATGCCAGCAAGAGTGCTCTTGCGCCGGCATGTAGTTAGCTTCAATGGCCCAAAGTGGCCTTGACACCTGGTGCTAGCACTCATTGGTGAATGAAAAAGATCTTTCTGCCGCCACATTGTGCACCAGTTGCATGCCCAAGAGAGCACCTTTGAGGATGCACCAGAGTTTTGCGCACAAGGTTCGCGACTATTGCTTCCATATCGGCGACAAGTGCAGTATCAGGAAGCGCCATGCTTAGGCAGGAAAGGAGCTAGCTTTCCTGACTGCGCGGAAAGAGTTGTAAGGTCACCTGAACCCAGCGGTGTCTCTGGCATTCGGCTTGCTTGGTGCTGAGGGACCTAGCCTTGTCAGAATGTCTTTGTCCGCAGTTCTCAGGTCTAGGAAGATGTACTGGGGCCGTGTCTGGACGTACGTCTTCCTGCAGGCAAGGCTATTTGGAATTCACGGAGCGTTAGTCCATCTGACGAAAAGTCGGAGCACAGTTTTGGATCAATGTCGGGTCGAATGCTTCATGTGCTCACGTAGTCATGTGGTTTTTCATATGAATGTGTCATGATGTGTTGTGTGTTTGGGTTTCCATAAAATTGTGCACATGTATCGGTTGCAAGTGATAGCAGATAGCATGCAAACTGATTCAGTCGACACGGTTGACTTGGCGTGAGGCGCCAAGCCAAAACATCATCCCCGTCCCAGAAGAGCCACAACAAGCAAAAGTCCCATGCCTTGGCCTGCGTAGATACTTTCTGTCGTGACATGGCGATATTTCCCTGGTTTGATTGCCCGGCAGATCACGGCTGGCGTGGCGGCCTGTGGTGCAGTTCGAGTGATCATGCAAAAGGAGCTCCCGGAAATCGAGCCCAAGGCAGCTATCTGATGGGCTGTCTGACTTTTGTGCAAGCCACCAAAACCCCTTCTCTTCCATCTTGTGGCCGACTCCTGCAGTCCGACTACAACCTCGCCGATGCTGGGCTCGTTGAGGCGCAGCCACAGTTTGTTTCGTGTTCTTTGAAACGGCCCTTCAGATCACAAGTCTCAGCAAAGCAGTCAGCTACTCCGATCAAGACAAGGCTTGTACGTCTGCAGTTGCCCAGGGAATCTACAGTGCCATGTACTGCCTGGTCGCCCTCAACTGCATTGCATCTCTGGAGAACAACCCCAGGGGTTTCAGGACATCCGCATGACCAGGTCCAAGCGAAGCCAAGAACAGTTGCACATACTGGAGGAATCAGTCCTTTGCTGTTGCAATTGGCTTGGTCCTGATCGCTGGCCGGTGGCCTATGGAAGGTCGTAGCATGATGTGAGATCATCTCCAGTCGTCTCAGGTGGCCCTCCTTGCAGTGAGGTCTCAGGAGGGCACCGCCGGGCGAGTTTGTGATGCCGTTCACTGCTGTTCCGCTGGCTCTCCGATCCGGGATGACAGGCTCTTGAACCCGGCCATTACGGTTGGCTTTTGCATCTTCGGAGGCCAAGGCCAGGAATTCTTCCATGTCGGCAGAAGTACTCGGCAGCCGAACGCCGAAGCTGCAAAACGACAGGCCATCATGCCGTTCGCACTTTGATTCTGGCCGCCGCACAGGCCGGGATTTTGGGCAGCATCGGATCTGTTCTTCTGAAAACGGTTTTCTCCTAGCACCACTTCGACATGCATGAGAGATTGCACTGTCAGCGACGGCGTGACATGAGGGAAATCAGAAAACAAAAGACAGGGAAGCACAGAGGCTGGTCGAGAACGACAACAAGCGGAAAACAGCTGCGAGGCTGAAACCGGTGACCCGATTAGTGGCTTTTCCACAGAACGAACTGAAGCTTAAAGATACAACGAGCCTTGTTTGCCGTGGCTTCTCATGTCACCTGCTTCGTCTCTGGGCCTGGCCCCTCGGATCAAAGCCTGGGCTCGGGACCGACTAACGGAAGTGGTTTAGGCTGAGGGCCCGCACGGGTTCTACGGCTTGGCGCTTGAGCTTGCCAGAAAATAGGGTTTAGAAGTTTAGAGTTGTCGCACAAACTAATAGCTTTCAGGCCTTTGAGTTTTTGGTGACCAGTTAATTCCTTGTTTTTGGGGATGCCGTAGCATTCACCTATCCGGGCTTGTGAACCAGATGCACGTTGTCCTGGCAGATGAAATTGCACTAACTTTGTCAGCATCGCCGCTGGTTTGAAATGTGGACTGTGGGCAGCAACTTGCCAACCCTATGGGGCGATGGGATAAATTAGCGGGCAGCTAAGCCCCGTTCCGTTCTGGCTTTGATCCGAGGGGCCAGGCCCAGAGACGAAGCAGGTGACATGAGAAGCCACGGCAAACAAGGCTCGTTGTCTCTTTAAGCTTCAGTTCTTTCTGTGGAAAAGCCACTAATCGGGTCACCGGTTTCAGCCTCGCTCTCGATATCTCCGATGATTCTGCATCCTGCCGTCTGTGTTTCCCACTTGTGTTCTCATGTTTGTCTCCGCATCTTGGTTGCCGACGTTTCCCTTGCCAGTGAGGTCAGTGTAGTCCGGTTCGTAGATGGTGTTGATCTCCGCTATGCGTGATATATGTAGCATGAACAATTCGCCGACAGCAGTTTGACCTCTGAGGCTGCCGGTGCAGTGGGAGCCGCAGTTCTTTTCTTTTTGGTGAGACCAGAGGAAGCCATTTTCTCTGCGTGTCGGTGTGATCTGGCACGCTGGAATCGCATGGCATCCTTTGCTCTTGTCAGGAGCTGGCAGCCCTTGGCATTAATGTTGGCGAAGGTCCACGGTTACAAATCCGAACCGTCAGCTCCTGACATGGGCAGCGCTTGGAGGATTGAGTTGTCACCGAATCTGCAGCCGGCCACCCAGCAGACCCAGCACACACCCTCGCACCAGGGCAAAGCTCCCGTCGCATTTGGTAGGTGCCATTGGAGCCTTGAACTTCTGCAGCCGCCGGCGCAGTCAAGCAGACGAGGAAGACTGCGAGGCGTGTTGTGGCTGCTGTACCAAAGAGTTTTCGACCAGAAGGACAGCCACTCCGAAGACGAGGGCGATGTCCGAAGCCTTGATACACTTTTGCTTCTCCTTTCAAGTCCATGTTAGATCCAGTCCCTCCCCTCTGCACGAGGTGCAAACTCGGTCTACCCAAAAGGCTCGCTCTCCTTGGTGCTGAGCTTGGTGTTTGGCAGTGGCGAAAGCTCTGGAGCAAGCCGCTTGATGCTCACTTGCAGGGCGGCCAGAATAATCAGTGAACTCATGGGTACGTACTTGGTGGTGGGAACCTGAGCCATGGTGCTTGCCATCGCAGGCCCGCAGTCTCCGTGGCTTGCCCTTGAGGTGCTCACCTTCGGTCTTTGTGCAGCTCGGTGCTCAGGGCCGCTTTGTGGTCTTTTAACGCCTTTTGTGGCCTCTTTGCAGGTGGCCACAAACCGAGCACAAGCCGAGACGAGTGGCAAGGCACACGTCAAAAGAACGGTTGACTTCCGACAGCAAAGCATAGCATAGCGAAGCAGCGGTCACTGGCGGGAGGCTCTGCTGATGGTGCCGAGACCAAATGCCACCGCCACGGCAAACGACGCAGCACAGGATCGCTTCTATGCTTATGAATCAGTGGCTTTCGGAGGAACGGCCCCTAGTGCCCGAGAATCCCCTCCTGACTGTCTATAGATGGGGGGCTATGCCTTCAAGGGCTCATGTAGAAGAAGCGAGAGCGCTCAGTTTGAAAGCTCGCAGGGATGGTCCAACGGTAGGCTGGGTTGGGAGAGGCAGGCAGTGAACGGTACAGGGCAACGGGGCCTCTTGCGAAAGTCGAAGCTTTCACCGGCAGGGCAGTTTGTTCTTGCGTGGACGTTGCATTGCGAGGGCTCTGGCCGGGCGGAGTTAATGTCATGTCCCGACTCCCTTTCGAATCCAATCATACTTCGTGCAAGGAGGCAAAGATCGTGCTTTCTACGCCGTATTCCACCGGTGCTGCACTGCTTTCACTTGCCAGACTCTCAGATGCTCGTGAGGCGGGCATCAACCTTGTCATTCACATGTCAGCCGAAACACCGTTGCCGCTTATGTCAACTTGTTACGTTCTTTTGGAATGACTGGATCACACCTCTAAGCTTGAATGTGCTGAGACTTATGCCCTCGCCTCCGTCTCGGGCGCTCATTTCAACCCCGCAGTCACTTTGGCAGTCGGATTCCCAGCATTGGCAGCCTCAACTCTGTGGGGCGAGGGGAGCATCATTCTGCTCGTGTCGGCTTGTTGTTGCTATCACTGTTTCAGCCATGATGGTTCTTTTAGTTTGGGTATCTCCGTGCCCACTCAATAGGTTTGTTTTTGGGATGCAGTAGAATAGGGTTGGGAGCAGCGCGCCCTAAACACCGAAGCGAGCATGAAGGAGTTGGGGACGCAAGGTCTTTATGTGGTCTTTGGATGCAAACGGTTCGAAGGCAGAGCGGTCTGGCAACACGGTGCTCGAATGTTACGACACAAGTGTTCTATGCACTGGCTGTACTGTCGCATACTTGGAAGTCTCGGCTGAGGTAATGTTCACCAGCCGAGACCCTTACGTTTGGGCTGAGGTTGGATGCTTCACTTGCACAACTGCAAAAGGTTTGCCACTAATCGCGTTGACCTGGCCAGGGACCGACGCTCATACTTGCACAAGCCTCTGGTGCTGTGGCCGCTGCACTTACGTGCCCATGCATGTCTCTTCATGGCATCTTGCACGGTGCGTCTAAAGCGATTGTAGCAACTACTTGTACATTGCATCTTCGACCTGCCTTCGCTGCAGCCAGGTACCTTTTCGTCAGTCGTGGGCAAGCCAAGGCAGAAGTGCAGAATTCCCTTGTGGTTCCCATGAAAACAGATCGTTGCAGAGGTGGTGCCGCAACATTTGCCCCATCTTGGACCTGGCACAGATTTTTCGTGGCGATGGCCTAAGGTCTAAGTGTGGTGGCAGGCAGCACTGCTTCGAAGGTTCTCTCGCTCTCTCTATCCACGTTTGCCGTCCTCACTCCTCACGGTTGCAAGCATCTCGGCTGGCTTGCAGAAGCCAGTGCTGATGATTGGATTGCAAAGCATGTGAAAAAATTTTGAACCAAGCCCAGGTTGTCGTTAGTTTGCTACGACCTGCTAATACTCTGTGCATGGAAGGCGGCGATGGCCCAAAAAACTACGGATTTTAATCTGGTTCTGCTACTGGTTATGTGTTGAGGCATCGGCTTGAATTTCCAATGACGAGTGCGGGGGCATAGCTCTGTTCAGTATCATCTGTGGTGCTGGTTTTCATGTGATGACAGATTTTCGTGACACGGAGCCCACGCGATCCCGGATTGAGGGAAAGCAGTGGATTCTGCAAAAATCACCAATGGGCCGGCTTAGGAAAGTTGAGGCCACAATTGACCTGTGGCCAAAATCCCCCATGTTGAAAGGGTGTCGAAGCTTTCAGATACAAGCTTTTGAGGCATCCACTGGCGAGGGTCCTTTTGCAAAGCGAAGCGAACTCGTGTCCTCGACCTTGCAGCAAATGCTGTCACGGCTCATTTGTTCTATCTTGTCCTCGAACAATGCAGAAGCCTCTTGACTCTTGTCACCATGCTTGCCAACGATTCAGATTCTGGTACCTAGGCATGCTGTCAACCTGGCCGAGATGCTTTTCACCTTGGCTGCCCCCTTAGCTTTTCAAACTATATCTGTTTGTAGCAGCCTGCAGCCTTAGCAGATAGCCGACAGGCGCTTGCCTACGTTGTCCTCTGTGTGACGACGATCAAGAGCCCGAGGCTGGCATGACGCTAAAGATTGCACTGGAAAGTAGTTGCAAAGATCCGAAGTTCTTTACACTGCGCACATGCGTGGGGCTAATTGGGGCAAAACGACAATGCATTGCAGACCTTGCACAACGCATTGCACAACGCACGTGTGTCATCGCAGCAGGTATCCGAAAGCCACTTCCATTGCCAACTTCGATTTCGCCACTCATCTGCAATGCCTTGGGGCATCGGGAGGCTGAAAGGAGACGTTCTTCTCCTGCATAGCAAGTCCAGGGACTTGCAATCGGCTTCACCTTCATGGCCGGAGCCTGGCCCTGAGTTCGACGGTACAGCTTCTATACACTGTGTCTTTCTGTTGCAGCAGAGTGGCTCGGATCTAGAGGAGTCGGAAAGCCCTTCATACTTCATAGTCTGCAAAACAGCCACGACGAGCTTGCGTGACTGATCTCGAACGTGACAATCTGCCCCCACAGCGGATGCAGCTTTTCCTGAAGGTCAAAAGCTCCCGGTAGTTGATGCATACGGGTACCGGGGAGCCTTGCTCACTGCCACAGGGCGGGTGGGTCGTACTATATAAGGTCTGGAGGAGAGGATCTGCAGAAGACCGGTCCGTTGATTGGGTGGGCTCGTGCCTATCAAATCCTATTGTCTCATCTGGGTAAGTTGTCGGAAAGTATTATGTTGAGCCGGGCATATGCTGGATTGTACCAGCTTTACCAAACACTCATTCGCAAGCTGGCCGCTTGGACGTTCCGCAGCGCAAAATCGCACGCATGTTCCAGGGTCATTGCAAGCGCTTTCCGCTGCCGTCTGCATTAGCATGTCTAGGATGGGTTCCGTGGTCGCATCTTTTGGCATATTCACGAATTAGCCTCTGGCTCGCGTGCGCGACGATTCTTGCAACCTCATGGTGCAAGGGTTTCCCATCGCGATAAATACGCCTGGCACTTGGGCTCAACAAGTCCTTGCAGATGAGCTTCGTGCATTTGGGGTTGAAGCCCCGCAGGCGTGAACAAAATCCAAAGCTGAGCTGTTGTTTGGCAACTGATTGGCAGCACCGAGCAAGGTGCAGAACATCCAAATCTGACAAGTTGTCCCAACGAGAGGACCAGAGGTTGTTAAATCCCCAATCCGATTGCGACGATCTTCGAAGCTACTTGCATCAGCTTGGAGCACTCGGTCTTTCTTTTACGATTATTCCGTTGTGGCCAGGGGCTTCGAACAAACAGGTGACACAAGGTGCGCACGATTTTGCTTGGGCAATGGGTCCCGAGTAGCCCAAAGATTGCAGCATTTCCTCCTGCAGTGTCCCCTGACATCGTACGGCGCACACGAACCCGTTGTCAACACATGTACAGCAAATCACTGCGCCTCAGACGTGGATGAACATGTGTGCCTCTGAATAATTACTTGTTCAGGTCGTTTGCAAGAAGTGGCTCATTCGGAGACCATGGTTGCACAATAATCTGTCGCACAAGCGGTCCACACGAGATGCGTTTTGTAACGGCTTTGACATGCTTTGACCTTACTTCTGCCCGCTGAAGTGCATGTGAGCTTTCTGCGAGTGCGGCTTGCTTTGGGCCTCAAAAAAAGGCCATCGGATCTCCGGTGTGTGAGCTGACCGTCTTTTGTCAGTAAGGCTGAGTTCGATCTGATTGAGTGGCTTGAAATGGCTTGAAAATGGCGGGGCTCTGGACGGGCCTCGAATCCTAGAACAGAGCATGCAGTACCGAGCCTGGACAGCAAAACAACAACACCACAACACCACAGGCTTTTCCGGCATGTACCAACTGTCTTCTTGCGAAGCAAAGGAAGCAATCTTTCTTGATTGAGACCAGGGCATCGTAATGATTTTTAATGCTTCTTGCACATTTCGCGAAATGGGGCCGAATATGAGTGCCTTGACGTTTGTAGCCAAATGTAAGTTTCAGCTGTGATCTTTCACTGGCGGACCCAATCTGGCCTCGCGAATGCTTTCACTTGGGGTTGTCGGCTCGCTTACTGCCAATGCCATGCCTGCAGAAGTGCTGAAGCAACCCTCGCAAGAATAATGGCATATCCTGGCGTAGCACCAGCAATTTGGCGCCCAAGACCTTGCTGCTGCATGTCACGGCACGTGCAGTTATGTTGCACGAGTTTTCGTTGACTTTATCAAGACTTATCGGTCCACGGCAGGGCTGGGTCACCCAGTGGGTCTCCGGAGGAATGCTGAATCCAGCTGCTCGTAGCCCAGATCCGTGTCTTGCTTCAATAGTGTCTCCCCAAAGTTCAAAACCAAGCTGAGGTATCCCTTGGAGTGGCGACTGCGGATCTGCTGTCAAACGGCAGCGATAGTCTTTCGCCCTTGACTTAGCACTTGGCGCAGAGCTGCGGCTGACAAGGCCAAGCTTCCAGATAAAGTGAGGACGGAGGCCATTACCAAGATGGCCAACGCTCTCTTGGTGCAGTATGTTGCCTGGCAATGTGCAGGAGGCATCATGTCGTTGTGTCAATCCAGCTTAGACATTTGCTTCCGCGCTGAGACTGCAGCAACAGGATGTACGAGTGTCAGATTCAATTCACCGCGGCAGGTGTGCTGGCCGCGTTTCTATTCTGGCTGGTTCATCCTTTGCTTTACAAGCAGGAGTCGCCAGAAGACTTCGCGCGTTGCCGACTGCATGTTGACTGCCCTGTACTGACTTGCCCTGTGGACAGGATCCATTGCTGGTGAAGTGATGTGCGATGCCTGAGAGCTCGGGAGCAGCACAAATAGATGAGCTAGAGCTACTGCAGCTGCTGGTCTGTTTCACGATGAAAGGTGCTAAAAGCTAGACATTGGTGACTGCCCGACTGGGTGTTTTTTTTGCATGTGTTGACACTATGTAATCGCGCCGGCAGTTGCGATCGTTTGTTTTCGCGTCAGCCTGAGGTCCTCGCGTGTTTGCGTCATTCTGTGTCTCGCCTGCGGGAGACCGTGCGAGAAGCGGCCGCTGCCGTGGGCTCAAGCAGCAAGGAACTCTGGGATGAGGGCCACCCAGTTCCTACAGCTCTGCACCCGGACCACAGGTTGTAATGCCGGTGGATCCTTGGAAGCAGTATGCCAGCAGAAAGGAAGGAGATGCTTTCTGTTAGTTAGTGCAGCCTGTGCTGCGGCAAGTTCGCATCTCAGGAAGGAACAATGAATTCATCGCCCTGGCAGAACGCACGCGACCTTGCACCATTTTCTACAACACCACTTTAGCAGCTGCCAAAGAGAATCATGAATGGGACTTGGCGCTGTATTTGTTTGCAACATCGGCGGAAAGACGACTGATACCAGATGTTGTGTCTCTGAATACTTGCATGAGTGCTTGCGCAAAGGGCATGTCCTGGGAGAAAGCCGTCAGCCTATTGCATGATGCCGAGCGGCACGGGCTGCAGCCTGACACGACATCACTGAATACCTGCATTAGCGCATGTTCCCGAGCATTGCTCTGGGAGAAAGCGCTCGCCATTTTATCGTTGTTCGGTCCTTCAAGACTGCAGCCTTCAGAGGTGACACATTGTGCCTTAATCACCATCTTTGAGAAAGCCACTGCCTGGGAAAAGGCTCTATCATCTCTCAACGACCGAATGCGCTCAGACGCTGGCATTTCTGTAGTGACAGTCAACAGCACAATTGCGGCCTGCGCCCAGGGCCACCGATGGGACATGGCATTGGCCATTTTCCATCGCAGTCGCCAGCAGTCGTTGGTTAGTTTGGTGACATACAACTCTACAATGAGTGCATGTTCCCGGGCTAGCCAATGGACACATGTGCTGCACTTGCTCAAGTTACTGCGGCTTCAGCGTCTTAGTATGGACCAACGCAGCCTCAATTCAGCAGTAAGTGCATGCGAGCGTGCTCGACTTTGGCAAGTGGCTGGCAAGGTGCTGTCTGATGCGTCTGCTGCTGGTCTGTCTCCTGATGTGTTCACGTACACATCCATGATTACAGCTTGTTCTGATCATCAGCACTGGCTAGAAGCAGTACGGACATTCCGGAACATGGGGAAGCTGTCGATTTCGCCCAACAGCCACACCTACAACTCTTTGATTGATGCATGTGGGAAAGGGCAACAGTGGGAGATGGCGGTAGGGTTTTTGCACGAGATGATCAAGGATGGCATAGAACCCAATGCGATCACGGTGAGCTCAATAGCTACGGCCTGTCAGGAGGGACGGGAGTGGGAGCTGGCCCTCGTGATGATGCACGAGATCTACATCTCTCATGTCCAACCCAACGTCGTTGCCATAAACTCAGGCCTTAGTGCTTATGCGAAGGGATGGCAGTGGGAATTAGTGCTGGAGCTGCTCGGACAATGGCAGCTTCGTGGACTCAGACTGGACACTGTTTCGTTCAACACAGGCCTGCATGCGTGTCAGAAAAGCTACGAGTGGACACAGGCCTTGGCACTATTCGATCACATGGTGGCAATATCCACGGAGCCTGACATCATTTCAGGCTGGAGAGTTCGCGAATCATCATGAGTAGATATCAAGGCCACATGCCTTCCACAACAGTTAGGAATCCACAGATGGACCTTTTGCAACATCAGTTCCCAGTCGCACATTCGGTGGCTGGCATTTTGTGTTGACATCTGCTGTCCACTTCATTCTAGGGTCTTGGTTCCGTCATGACATACTATTCTATTGGCACTGTTCCAGTGATGAAAGTGCAGCTTCCTCAAGCCATTATTCGTTCTTGGCTGAGAAATGCTGCACCGTAGACTGTAGGCTTGAGGGGTTTCTTGGTCTTCACACAAACCAACGTTGCAGTGCTACAAGTGTCCGATCGTTCCGGCAATCTGATTCATGTGCGACAGACAGTCGGGAGTCCGTGCCCTCCTGATTGGCAAGTACCCACCACGCCTTTCTCCACAGGGCGAGCACTTCGTACTTCGGTCCGCAACTTGAGATGTGCAGGATACACTCGGGAAACTGGGCTCAATCCCTCCGGGGAATAATATTCTCCATGTCCAAGGAACGACTCAACGATTGAATTACACGCAAGGTCGCGACTGTTAGACCAGGAAACCCAACAAAGCTAGGTGGAGCAGCATCCGCATTGAGGGATGCATCGGCTCCAGACATCTGCAGGACTATTCGGCAGGTGTGTGTCTGTGTGTCCCTACAGTTTCTTGAAGCGTTTCACGACCACTAGAAGTTAAGAGCTGTCTTCAGATCCCAAACCTGCCAAATCACGAAGCGTAGGGCGTCGGAACCGGACGATCCAAGCTTGAAAGCAACTCGTTATCTGGGTTACCAAGTACATTAAGTACACCCTTTGCTTATGCAGGCAATGTCGTCGTGAGTGCCTGTGAGAAAGGCCAGAAGTGGGATAAAGCTATATCTTTCTTCGAGTCGATGGGACTGGTCCACGGCTTTCGGCCAGGAGTTGTTGCATACAGCGCCAGCATCACTGCATTATCGCATGGCCGCAAATGGCAGCATGCATGTGAGAAGTTTGCCGACATGGTACTCAGCAAACTGCAACCGAATGTCACTACGTATTCGTCGCTGATCACAGCCCTGGAACTTGGACAGCAGTGGCAGAAGGCTATGCTGGTCTTTGAAGCCATGGCCGTGGAGCCGGACGAGGCATGTCTGAACGCAAGCATAAAGGCTGCTGCAACGGGCTCGCACTGGAGAGGTATTTCTTACTTGTTACAGGAGTTCGATGAGCGAGCATTGCGGCTTGATGCCAGGACGTTTGCCAGTAGCATTGCTGGGCTGGCACGGGCTGGGCGATGGCAACATGCGGCTCACTGTCTTGAGAGATGCTTGCAGGAGGCGGACACAATGCGTCACGAGTTTGTGGCGCCTTTCAATGCTGCACTCTTCGGGCTCTCAAAGCAGTGGCTCTGGCAAAGGGTGCTTTCTCTGCTTGCATCCTCCGAATGCAGAGCACATCAGCGAGTCGCATCGGAAATTCAGCTTGCCCTATCAAAGGGAGGTCATTCGCTTGAGGTGCGCAGTTGGCAACCTCAGTTTGATTCAGCACATCGTACATTCCGCACCTTCTTCGACAAGCTTCAGCAAGGCAACATTCCCAAGCTGGAATATGACAACGCTATGATTGCGTTTGAGAGCAGTCCGGAGGGTTGTCGCGCAATCCGTGATGCTTTGGATCGGAAGGGCTTCACTTTGCATGTAATGTTGAACTGACCGCACGAACATTGAGCATTTTGTATCATGCCGTCCAACCGAGGGGAGAAACAATGTACATAAATTTGAATTGCTGCGTTCCGAGTAATTTGCTTGTTATATGGCGCTCGTATATGGGATCCAGATGTGGGATGACGTACCGCGGCAAAGACTCAAACATTGATAGACATAAGTGTATGGAAAAGGTCTTTTGGGCTGGATACTATTCTTTAGAAGGTTCAGTTTGTGTAAGCAGTCAAAGGTTCTGTTAGTCTGCTGACTCTACCATGAAGGTTAATTCTAGGTATGCCTTAGAGATTTATTTTATTTCGAATATTTTTTTCTTTCTTCTGTCAAATGCGCCAATATTTAAGGAAAAACGAGTATTATAATCGGATACGATTAAATTATCGTCGTAGAAAACGAACTCGCGTAATATATATATATATCTATACCTTCCAAATAATAATCGCGTTCAAGAACGATTTCGTAAAAATGAAATCATATCTTCTCATATCTAAAAGATTATAAGAATCGTAAAATCTCCGAACCCTTATTTCCGATCTCGAATATTTCTTTTCTAATCTAAATATAATATATAGAATACGATGCGAAAAATATCGGATTTGTAGAATTTCCAAGGGGTCGTTTGTGAATAGGAATATAGTAGATTAAATAAATATTCTTCGAATAATAAAATAAAAATCTTTTCGAATGAAATAGCCGTTTTTTATTATAATTGAAATCGCCGTTCTGACTTTTGATTACCGTATGGGAACTTAATATTAGTGTCGTTCCGTAACTTATCTACCTATAACTTAAGATATAATTTTTAGTCTTCAAATTTAAAATATTGATAAAGAATATATATATATATATAGTTATTAATAAGATATATAATAGAAAATAATGATATGATTTAATTGAAAAAAATTGAAAATAATGAAAGATATATGAAGACAATTGAAATACAAATTTTTTTATACAAGAAAGTGGAATTTTTGTCTGGTTCGTGTCGATTATGAAAATCACATCGATAGAATTATTGATATTCGAAAAGGGTACGTCTTTATGTCTTGATAAGGTCGAATTCGGATATATCCATCAGAAATTCTAGATAAATTTAATAGATTAATGAGATTTTTGATAAAAAAATCTTGGATTTTTATAGCTATGGCATAATTTCATCTTTCGATCGATTGGCAAATAAATTGATGATATTATTCTTTTTGATTTTTTCTTATGATTGCTCGAAAATAAGGAGGGAGCGAGAGAGAAAGAAAAGACAAATAGATTCGCGAAATCTCATATTTCTAATTATCTGATAAGTAAGATATATATTCTTTATAGAAAATGATTTGTAAATAATTTCTAGAATTCAATATTTCATAAAACCTCATTATCATCGAAATTTTAATTTTATTATCTTGGAAGAATATTTATCGGCATTTTATATAAAGATATAAATAAGATATTGATAATTTGTAAATCATTTAATGATCTTTATAATGAAGAATCCGATATCGATAAAAATTCTGATATTAATAATTCGTTTGCTTATATAAAAGTCTGATAATTATTATTTCATGAATATGCTATTATTTGATGATTTTGAATATTATGAAGATTTGAATCTTTTATCTTTTTATAAGATCCGAGATAATTATCTTAAAATGAGATTGCCTTATATAAAAATCAATAAATATATCGTTCAGAAGTCTTGGATTGATCGAATATATATATATATATATGATTTTTATCTAATTATATATATTTTGATTAATTTCTTTTTATATCTCATCTTTCGAAGAATATTCTAATTGTTATTATAAATGATTCCAATTGATATTGGATCATATCCGCTTAATTATCTCAATTACATTTCTATATCATAATATATATCTATATTGATATGGTCTTTGATGAAATTCATTATTTCATTACATAAGCGATCGTGATATATTACAAATACGAAAGAATTTGTTCATTTATTGCAGATTTTCGATCTGTTATCTCTTATCGGAGTTTAAACTTATCTTATGTCATCGAAAAAATATCTGATAGTAAAATTTGGATTTTGGGAAGTTGGTATTCTTAAGGTAATGAATTTATCATTTATTATATCTCGTTCAGATATGTATCTATGTCACCATCAAAATTATCAGATTCTAGGGATTCAAAAGTCATATTTAAAGAATTCTCTATAGATCATTTATCTTCATATATATAGATATAGATATTTGAAAAATGAGAGATCTTTATAAATCATGGTTTTTTCATAAAGAAATAGAAAGCATGAAATTTTGAGAATCTCTTAGCTTTTCTTGGAAGAAATTCATTTTTTTCCATCATATATTAATTCGGGGCTCGCAACTTCTCTTTTTCGAATTTGGATTTCGACCGTATTCCGAAATCTGGAATTATTTTGAATATAAAATCTAATATTTTATGGAATTCAAGAGATATTAGATCTCTATTTTTCGGAGAGAGATATGAAAATTGATTTAATTATTCCTTATTTGATATATATCATCCGACATAGAATCTTAGAATATATATATATTGAAATCTTTATTTTTGAAGAAAGTCATGATAATCTTCTTCAGATTTGAAGATTGATCTCAGCATCTTCTTTCAGATTTGATAAAAAATATATCTCAATAGAATCTGATCATCTATATATCGATGATTAATTTTCAGATTCAGGAAACGAAACTTGCCATCTTCGGATTTCCAATATATCTAATTTAAAATTAAAATAACCCAATTATCTTTTTTGATGATATTTAATGAATATCATTTCCTTTAAATAAAAATAATTCAAATTGAATATATTTTCTTATGATCTCGAAGCAATCTCTATTTTCTATTTCCAAAATCTTGCGAATCATATTTTTTAATTTCGATTTTATCGCTATTTATAATTTTAATAAATCAATGTTCCCTAATCTTAATAAAGAAAATAATCTCATCATAGATCGATCTTATTCAAACGAAGATTTTAGAAATATAGACGTATCGAAAAAATTGAAATAGATAAATTTTTTTTGAGATTTCGATCATATTCTTCGAGAAAAAAAATATATATATATTAATAAATTCCCATTCAATATTTAAGCTCTTAGGATATTTCATATCTTTATCAAGAATATTCATTTTGATTATCTTATACGAATTTTTTTGATTAGATAAAATATATAAATATATCTTTTATTCTATAATTTCGTCCTATTTTCTTCATACGAAAAATAATATTTAAGATTACAGAAAGTGTCGCACTGCAGGCCCGAATTTTGAAAATTTCTGTTTTTCCATATTATAGGCTATATAGGATGTTACAAGAGTGTTGTATCTATATATTTCCATATATATATATAAGAAAAATTCTTGAACAAAGAGAAATATTGTCTGATAGGAAAACTCCTGCGGCAATAACGCGCGTGGATAGTGTCTGCTATATTAGATAGCCTAATCCACAGAGCCAAAAGGCCTGGAGTCC